GCAGTCAGCGTTGCTGCGCCCTGGCCGCTCGGCGGTGCGCTCCGGAGACCCTGGGTCCCCTGAGCAGACAGTGGGCGAAGGAGAGGTGGGCTGGGGTGTCCCCAACCCGAGCGAGCCAGGCCGCGCCTCCCCTCCTCACCCCCAGCTGCACACAGCCCCGTCCCCCAGTCCCTCCCCCACAGGCCCCTATGGCGCCCCAGTCCTGGCTGTGCTGCCCCCGTCCCTGCGGCCGCCCTCCCGAGGGCCTAGGCTGGGGGCGCAGGGCCCTGCACCCTGTGAGTCCCGCTGCCACCGGCAGGTGGGCGCAGCTTCCTCCTGGGGCAACCAGTGGCCGTGCCGGGGATCCCGTGCTGTGCCGGCCCCAGCAGCCTCCAGCCGCGGCCGGCAGGGCTGCAGTAGATGGGCAGCGGCTTTGGGGGGGGGGCTGGCCCTGCTGGCATCTGCCTGGCGCGCAGGGCAACTGCCCGCCGAGCCTCGAGGGCGCCATCGTAGATTCCGGAGCCCCAGGCCCCAGCCGCGAGGGGCCCTGGCGGTCAGCCAGGCTTGGGTGAGTCTCCAGGCGACCAGGAGGATCAGGGGCAGGGGCAGTCCCGCGGCAGTGACCGCATGGGGCAGCAGAAAGCGGGGGTCCCACGGGCCCCCGGCAGAGCTGGCTGCCGTGGCCCACACCCCACACGCCACGCCCGGCCGGCACTGGTGCCACAGCTCCGGAGGCCGGAAGCTAAGACCGGGGCCTCGGGCTCGGCCCCCGGCGTGGTCACTCGGCCCGGGGCTGACGGCTCCCACGGGCCCCCCCAGGACCGGGGCCTTTCCTGTCCACCCACTGCGCTGACCACAGGTCCACATGGAGAGACACGGCTGTGGCGGGGGCCAAGACAGGCCCTGCGGTCAGTGCTGGGGGGGGTCTGGGCGAAGGGGCGGCCCGTGCAGGCCCGTGGGCTCTGGGTCCAAGAATCGGCCTGTGTCCAGTGGCCGACGCAGCTCCTCGCCCAAGGACAGGCTGTGGCCTCCGTCCAGAGGCCTCCGGCTGCTGCCCTTCCACCAGACGCCCCTGCCCTCTCTCCACCTTCCACCCACTTCAACCCTGTGGTCACCAGGCCGTGGGCAGCGGGGATTCGGGTCCCACTGTGAGGTGCCACAGGCTGTGTGCCCCACTGCGCTGGCGGCTGGGCCAGTGTGCAGGGACCCCCGTGTGCGCCGGTGTCCAGCACCCCCAGCCGCTCCCCATGGCCTGCTCTGTGTCCTCCCACGCTGCCCCTCCAGGCCAGCAGCCCGACCTGCCCAGCTCTGCCCGTCTGCGCGTCCGGCCAGGGCTCTGTCGGCCTGTGGGGCGCGGGCATCTCTCCCGTGGGCGCTGGCCTCTGTGTGCCCAGCTGGACCGCTCGTGGACACGAGATTCTGGGTCTGTGTGGCCGCGCATGGGTGGATGCGTGTGGGTGGACGCGTGCGGGAGCCCGAGCCATGAGAAGAGGACCCGCCGCGAGCTCGGCTGCGAGGTGGACGTGGCGGTGGCCGGCCC